GGGCGCCCTCAGTTCCGATTGCTTTCTGAAGGAAGCGCATGGGTGTAGCCAGGAATCCTGTGGTTCATTTAAAAGGATTCCGATTGTTTTTTCTTGCCGAATCCTATGGTTTTCTAGCGGAAACAGGCGGGCACCCCTAGGGGCCCGATGGATCCCCAGCGGAAGCATATTGATTTCCAGCAGAATCATATGGATGCCCAAAGGGACCCTATGCCTGCCCGGCATATTCTTACAGACTTTCAAGGATTCCGATGGATCTTTTAGGGGTCCGAACGCTTTCCAGAGGGATGCTATGGATTCCGTTTAGATTCTTATGGGTTTCTTGAGGCATCTAGTGTCTTGTCTAAAGGATGCCTAAGGATTCCCGAACGAATCCGTTGCATGTTTAAAGGGATTATAGGGGGTCCTTTAGGAACTTGGTGCATTACCTCCAGAGTCTTGTGGATTTCAATTGGGTCCTATGGATTGCCAAAGGAACCCCATGGATTATCTGTGGAGTCCCGCGGGTTTCCGCAGGAATCCCCGAGCCCCGCAGGTCGCGGTCGCGCAGGGCGAAAAGTACCCCAAGCCGGCATAATTAGTTTGGCGCATTTGCAAAATTAGGCCTCCAGATGGGATCCGAGTAGATGGGGTCGGAGGATCGCGTCGGCGACGCATCGCCGATGCGGCTCAACGTGGGCTGACGTCGCCGATGCGTCGCCGATGCGTGCCCGATGCATCGCCGATGCGTCGGCGATGCCGCGCGATCTTCCGACCTTATCTAATGGGCGCCCCATCTAGGAGGCCTCCAGCAGGGCGCTGCTAGGCGCGCCGAGCTCTGAGCTCGCCGAGCAGTGCGCGATCGTGAACTGCGGGCATATCAAGAGGGGCGACGCCCTCGAGCTCGGCACGGTGAGCGCGCTGCTCGGCGAGGCGGAGGAGCATGTGGGCATCCCCGAGAACGTTCTGGCGATCGAGCCCGCGGCGGCCGTCGCCTGGGCTCGCGAGGGCCAGGGAGAGGGCGGGCCTTCCGCCCAGCAGCCCGAGTGGCAGGGGCGCTGGGCCGAGAGAGTCGAGAGGGCCGGGCGCCTGCAGGTCGCGGCGCACGCCGAGGCCACCGCGCACTGCACCCAATTTACGGTGTCCAAGCAGGGGGCGGTCGCGGCCGCCGAGTGCCGCGACGCTCTCATGCATCCGTCCGAGAACGCCAAGCAGGCCGCCGCGAAGATCCCCCGAAAGCTCAGCGCCATCGGCCCTGCCGAGGAATGCCCTGCGAGCAGCGACGAGATGTTGCCGGCGGATGGCCGGACTTGCGGGCTCCTGGGCGACGGGGTGGGTGGAGCGCTTCGCGCGATATCCGGGGCGAGTGCCGCCTGCCGCCATCGGCGTCGCCCGGGCGCGCGCTCGAGGCAAAGAGTGGTTCCAGAAGCTGCAGGGCGCGATCGACAGCCATTGCGCCGCGGCCAAGGCCGTGGCCGAGGCCGGGGGCAAGGGCGCGGCCGGGCCGCCGAATGGCCCGACGGCGCCAGGGCCCAAGAGCGGCAGCTTCGAGGAGGCGCAGGCTGCAGCGCGAGCGCGCGCGAAGTATCTCCCGCGCAAGGGCGGCCCCAAAGGATGCCGAGCCTGCGTGGGCGAGCTTCTCGAGGTTGCGCGCGAGGGGGGGTTATTGGCGAGGGCCGCGAAGAACTGCCAGCTCTCAGGCAAGCGCTGGGAACCGACTCGCCGAGCACCAAGAGCCGTAAGAGCGAGGGGCCACCGGCGCCGTCATCTCGTCATCCTCTTCTTCGCAATCTTCGCAAATCCCCGTGGATGATGGATCTCGCAAGAGGGATCTCGTGACTTTCCTACGGGATCCAATTGATGTTCTGTGGGGGCCTAGTGGTATCCTCAGGATCCCCATGGCTGTCCTAAGGATTCCCATGGGTTGTCGAACGGATCTCATAGATTACCATCGGAGTGCAATAGATGTCCTTTGGATTCCGGTGGATGTCCTCGGGCTTCCTATGGGTGCTCATAGGACTCCTACAGATATCCGATGGAACCCAATTCATGTTCGAGGGTTGCTATGGAAATCATCAAGGACCCACTTGGTATTATCAGGGGTTCGAGGGATTTCTCTGGGTGTTCTATGGATTTCCGAAGGATCCTTATGGCTTTCCCAAGGGATCCAACGAACGTCCTAAGGAGTCTTATCGCTCTCCGATGGATTCCGAGGGATTTCTTATTATTCCCATTATCGTTTAGGATCAGTTTGATCATCATCATCATCCTCATCGTCATCATTTTCATCATTATGCTGAGATTTCTGGAACAACCTTCACTATCCCGCTTGGATTCTCTTCTGTCCGATCCGGCTCGTGTCCGGTATTCTGTCGATATGATGTGACCCGGTGGTTGCGTGGAGCTGCTGTGCTTCCTGGCGCGGCCGATCCGATTCGTTCTCGACCCCGTAGCGCTGCGGTTTTGCTCTGATGCGCGTTCTGATCCGATCCGATTTCCCGATTCTGTCTTGACTCATCTTGCCCCCGTGCCTCTCTCTCGTTCTCGTCCTCCCCCCTCTCCCTCTGTCCTTCCCTCCTAGTCCTCCCCCTCCTCCCCCTCTGCTGCCCCTCCCTCCTCCTCCGCCTCCTCCTCCTCCCCCTCCTGTTCCTCCTCTTCCTCCTCCTCCTTTTCCTCCTCCTCCTTCTCTTCCTTCTCCTCTTCCTCCTCCCTTCTCCCTCTCTTCCCCCCTTCCTCGTCCTCGTCCTCGTCTTCCCCCCGGATTCCCGATTCGGTGATGACCGATCCTGCCTCCGTCCCTCCGTCCCTCCCCCCCTCTCCGCCCCCAGACAGACTCGCGTCGTGACAAAAATCAAGACAGGAAGTTTTTGCACGTGTTCGGCTTCTCGGGGCCTTCACCCGGCCCCGAGACCGTCACATAACGACTCAGGACGAGAAGCCGGTCTTGGGGAAAGGGTCGGAATTTCCAGGGACCGCGTACAGTCGGACCGAGGCATCAGATCGAGGTCGGTTCGAGGCGGGTACCTTGGTGTTCTTCGTGTTTGCTGGATGTTCTTGCGCATCGTGGGGAAGGTACCCGTGGGTTGGCGACGTGTCCCGTTTTCGTGCAGAATCGGCACGCCCTGTCGCCAAGCCAGGTGGCACCGGTTGTTTGCTTCGGATCCCTAATCCATGTTGCAGTCCGACCGAGGTATAAGATCGAGGTCGGTTCGGGGAGGGTGCGTACACAAATTTTTGTCGTGTTTGCTGGGTGGTCTTGTGCATCTTGGGGAGGATTCCCTTGGATGTTTTGCTTGTTTCGGCCGACAGAGGGTCTCGTGTTCTTGAAGAGTGATCTTCTGGCGCGCGCGTGTGTGCGCGTGTGTGTGCCGGCGCTCTCTTCCCTGCGCCGCTCACCGCAGCAATTTTAGACACAAGTTGAGTTGTGGCAGGATCTAAACACCAGTTCACTTTCTGTAGAAGTGTCAGCTTGAATCGAAGAGCCATTGCATAAACAGATCGTCGAGGAACTTGTCTGCTTGAATCGCCGAGGAGCCCCCTTTCCAGAGTCCGATTGTCATCCATGTTGTACACCGTGCGCCCGAGGACGGGGGCCACGGGAGAACGAGGAAGGGCTGGCGGCTCCCGGTCGCCCCGATGCTTCGCTGGGGGCCCTGGTCGAGCGACTCGGGCTCTGCCCCCCATTGTCGGGCGACGAAATCTATACATATCCACAGCCCTGTCGCGAGCGAGTCATGTGTTGGTGCGGTTATAGCCCCCTTGAGGGGAAGCGGATTTGACGCTCAATCGAAATTGTCTGGCCTCTGGACGGGCATCGGGTGATGGGTTCGTTGGGGTGAAACAAAAAAAAAAAAAATCCACTGCTCCCTGACCATGCCCATCTTGAACCCAGGAGCTGTGTATGCGCCCTCCTGGCCAAGCCAGGAGGGCGTGGCGTATACACCGCTGCGGGGTTGAGGATGGGCCTGGCCTGGGAGCAGTGGATATGTATAGATTTCGTCGCCCTACATTGGAAAGACTCGGGCCTGGGTTCGACCTGTACTGATGCCCAGGTCCGTCTGCATTGAGAGACAATGCGGGTCTAGCAAGTCGGGGTCCTTTCTCCGTTGCCGCCGCACGAGCCCGGGTCCTCAGTTCCAAGCGGGCTCCACCTTCTGCTGGTCAAAAAATCTCGCGACCTGCCTAGCCGCTTCCTGCCCGAGCTGACCAACCAACTACATCCCTTCCTGCCCGTCCCTCGTCCTCGTCCCCCCTCCTCCCTCCGCCACAAAGCAAATATACACAGACACCCATTCATGGATTGTTTCTGGGCCTCAGGGGAGGGTAGCGGTGTATACATCACCGCAGAAAACCACCGACTTTCTACACCGCCGCCCCTCCAGAGCGACAGACAGCTTGGCAGCAACGTTCATGCAGAATTCTCTGGAAGCGGCCCTTCCTCGTGACGCAGGCGAGTACTGGCGACCTTGTGAAGCAGAGAATTGTAAAATCATGTCGCGATCGAGAGCCAGACAACTCAGAGATCGACGCGTTGCTGTGGGCGAAGCGTTTCTCAACTCGGAGAAGCTTCAGCAACATATAGTTTGTTCCCCGCCGCGTGGTAACATTTTTCACTTTGCCTCCTTGCTCGCATCGCCAGGCCACTATTCAGGCTTAGCCTCGAAGGTGGATGTTCTGGAGCAGCGCTTGACTCCAACACAGTATATGTTGGAGCATGACGTTTATTTCCAATCGGCCGTTCCAGACAATGGTTCCCAGTCGAGAGAGATTTTGACAAGCGATCCTGTTTACGATATTTTGCACACTGGTGTATGGCAGCCGTTGGAGCCACAGTTTGAGGAACAACCGCAGGAGGCAGCACAGACAGTTCAGAGAAACGTGCGTGGCTATATTGCGCGTGTTCGGGTTTCGGAAAGTCGGAGGGCGGCATTCGAATTACACGGGAATGGCAGAAGCAGACCAAGAAAACATATCGTTTAATACGGTGTTGGGTTTTTCCCACCGATGCCCGCGAGTTCACCATGGGATGTACAAGCCGAACCAGCGTTGGCAAAACCAGCATGGGAACGATCATGTGTGCGATTTGTGCGGGGCTGGCGCAGTGGACGCAAAAGAGCTTCCCGAATGCATTGCAGTCTCGGCAAAACTTGCTGCAAAGATTTGCGCGTATGTTCGCGTTGTGTCCTGATTATGCCCAATTGCCTGTACGACGGCAAGAGTGGGTTTTTGGAAGCGCGCGTTTGAAATATCAGTTGTTCAATGGCACGTTGCTTTATTTCATCGCTTCGCTCATTCCGCCGGCCCTGGAGCGCCATTTAGGGGCCTCTTGGGGCTGTCTTGGGGACCTCTTGGGGGCTTCTTGGGAGCGTTTTGGGGCTCCTCGGTGGCGTCTTGGGCCCCCCTGGGGCCTCTTGGGGGGCTCCTTCGGGCCCCTTGGGGCGGGGGTGGTGGTCGATTGCAGCCGCCCCCTCGGAGGCCACGATCCTCGTGAGGGGTGGCGAAAAATAGCTTCCCCTCTGGGGATCGCCCGGGACCCGGCCGGGACCCCGCCAGGGATCGGCCAGGGTAGTTCTCGTCCGGGGGCCCCCAGGGGCCGCCCCGCGCGCGCGAAGTAGAAATATTGTTAAGTAGTTACCGGAGATCTTCTTAGCACGCCTCTGGCCCGTTGGGCCGGCGAATTTAGTGGAAGTTTGGTGCCTTGTGGTTGCTGAACGTAGTTATTCCGGATACCACCCTTGAGCATTTCAAGGACTGCTTCACATGAGGGGCTGCGGCCACACCGCCGTCGCCTTCATGGCGCGCCCCCGCGGCCCCGCACGGAACGGTAACCAGCGCTCGCCTCGCCTCGCCTCGCCTCGCCGCCCCTCTGGAGGTGCGTGCAAAGTTCGTCGGGGGGTGGCTGTGTGCGTGTATATATGTATACTAGAACCACGCGCGCGCTTCGCGCGCGCTTAGGTTCTGTCGCGTCACAGACCCAGGAATCGTTGTGAGAAGAAATTGGGGACGCGAAGTCGAAGCCAATCTGGCGCCAATCTGGCGGCCCCTATCGGGCAAAAATTGGCAATCTGGTGGGGGAGCCAGCGAGGTAACAGACTGGCGAGCAAGTAGAAATCTCCAACCTGGCCACGCCAGAGTGGCCCTGGATCCCAAGGCAATCTGTTAGTCTGGCCTTCGGCTACCCAGGAGAAGGGCGAGACACTGAAATCTTGGGACGCGAAGTCGAAGCCAATCTGGCGCCAATCTGGCGGCCCCAATCTGGCAAAAGTTGGCAATCTGGCGGAGAGCCAGCGAGGTTACATATTGGCGAGCAAGGAAAAACCTCCAACCTGGCCACGCCAGAGTGGCCCCTGGAACCCAAGGCAATCTGTCAGTCTGGCCTTCGACTGTCCAGGAGAAGAGCGAGACACTGAAATCTTGGGACGTGAAGTCGAAGCCAATCTGGCGCCAATCTGGCGGCCCCATTTTGGCAAAAGTTGGCAATCTGGCGAGGGAGCCAGCGAGGTTACAGACTGGCGAGCAAGGAAAAACCTCCAACCTGGCCGCGCCAGAGTGGCCCCTGGAACCCAAGGCAATCTGTCAGTCTGGGTTTCGACTGTCGAGGAGAAGGGCGAGACACTGGAAACGCAAAGTCGTCTCAAAATCGACCCCGGGACTCCGAACGCTCCAACGTTTCGGGCTGCGCCCAGCCGCTGCGACGAGGGGCCCTAGACCAAGGTGCCCCCAGGACTCCCCGGGAAGCTTCGGCGGCGTCCACAGCACCCCTCCTCCTCCTTCTCCTGCTCCTCCTCTTCCTCCTCCTCCCTCTCCTCCTCCTCCTCCTCCTCCTCCTCCTCCTCCTCCTCCTCCTCCTCCTCCTCCTCGTCTTCCTCCTCATCCTCGTCCTTTCCCGAGCGAGTATCCGATACAATAACAACTTGCGTGGAACCCCTCTCGGGCCCATCTTGGGGCTCTCTTGGGCCGCCTTTGGAGCCTCTTGGGGCGTCCTGGGTCTCTCGTGGGGGCTTCTTAGAGCTCTCTTGGCGCCTCCTGGAGCCTCTTGGGGCCGAAAGCTCGGAATTCTACAGTGGCTTCCTCCCTCTGGGACCCCTCTCGGGCACGCCTTGGGGCTCTCTTAGGCCATTTTGGAATCCAATTTTGCCGTCCTGGGCGCCTCGTGAACCGTCTTGGAACTCTCTTGGGGGCCACCTAGGCCGTCTTGGGAGCCTCTTCGGACGTGTTGGACGCGGTGAAAACCCAACAGGCGACCATGCGAAAAGTATACGTTTTCCCATAGGAATGAGACCATTTTTGCTTCTTGGACCTCTCTTGGGGTGCCTCTCGGAACGTCTTGGGCTGATTTTGGAAGCCTTTTGGCGCCTCTGGGCGGCGTTTTGGCGCCTCCTGGGATATGTTGGGCCGGAAGCTCGGAATTCGAGAGTGGCTTTCTCCTTCTGGGACCCCTCTCGAAGTCGTCTTGGGGTTCTCTTGGGCCGTCTTGGGGCCGTCCTGAGCCACTCGTGCGCAGCCTTGGAGCGCTCCCGGAGGCCTCCTAGGCCGTCTTGGAGGCCTCTTGGGCCGTCTTGGACGCGGTGAAAGCCCAAGATGCGAACATGCGAAAAATATACGTTTTCCCATAGGAATGGCACGATTTTTGTTTCTTGGACCTCTCTTGGGGTGCCTCTCGGAACGTCTTGGGGTGCTTTTGGGAGCCTTTTGGCGCCTCTTGGCGGCATTTTGGCGCCTCCTGGAGCCTCTTGGGCCGGAAGCTCGGAATTCGAGGTTGGCTTTCTCCGTCTGGGACCCCTCTCGAACTCGTCTTGGGGCTCTCTTCGGCCGTCTTGGGGCCGTCCTGGGCCACTCGTGCGCAGCCTTGGAGCGCTCCCGGAGGCCTCGTAGACCGTCTTGGGCGCCTCTTGGGCCGTCTTGGACGCGGTGAAAGCCCAAGAGGCGAACATGCGAAAAATATACGTTTTCCCATAGGAATGGCACGATTTTTGCTTCTTGGGCCTCTCTTGGGCTGCCTCTCGGAGCGTCTTGGAGGCTTCTGGGACCTTCTTGGTGTCATGACAGGCGTCTTGGAAGGCATCTGGAGCCATCGGAGCGCCTTTCCGAAGCCGCCTGCGAACGATCTTGGACGGCGTCCGGCGGTTCGACGAGCCTCCGGGCCCCCCGGGGCCCACATTTGCGGTCGAGGTCCCGGCCCCGGGCCCCCGGACCCGGTGCGCCGTTATATGTATAGACGTATGTGTGTATGCGTGCAGGCATGTATGTCTGCATGCATGCATATATGTCTATATATGTGTATGTCCGTATATACACATACATACATATGTATGTATGTATGCATGTGTGTATGCATGCATGCATGCATGCATTCATGTATGTATGTATGTATGTATGTATGTATGTATGTATGTATGTATGTATGAATGAATGAATGTATGTATGTATGTATGTATGTATGTATGTATGTATGTATGTATGTATGTATGTATGTATGCGTGAATGTTTTACATACTATATATAAGTGTATATATATACGCATATATATAGATATAAGTAACTTGTAGTGGCGTGCTCCCCTCTGCCCCAGCGCGGGGCGCGCGCCAGGCCCTCGGATCGACGGGCGGTGCGCTCGGGCTCGCGCGGGCCGTTCGCCGCGCGAGGGGCTCGTCGGGAGGGGGAAGGGCCGGCGGACGTGCGACCTCTTCGGCGGGATTCGTGCCGCTGTGCGGTGCGGTGACGCCCCGCCGTCTTCGCCGCCCCTCCTCGTCGTGCCTGCTGCTCGTCGCCGCCCCTGAGTCTTTCTCCTCCTCGTCGTTCCTCTTTCTCCTCCTCTTTTTTATCTTCGCTCCTCCTCGTTCCTCCTCTTCTTCCTCCTCGTTCCTCCTCCCCCTTCGTCTTCTGTCTCAGACGCCGCACATGCCCCAGCACACTGGGGCTGTAGCGTTGCCTCCTCCTCATCCCTCCTCCACCTCCCTTCTGCTCCTGCTTTTGCTCCTTCTCCTTTTTCTTCCTCCTCTTCTCGCTCTTCCGCCTCGTCGCTCCTTTGCCATTCCGCACCCTTGCAAGATACCCCCCGCCTCCTCGCGTCACGAGATGCGTTGGCGGGGCGGGTTCGGTGCGGCGTTCCGCTCGAGGACTTCTCGCAAGTTTGGGCCCTCGAGCCCAGGGGGGAAGTGAGCGGGGGCAGGCCTTTTCACAAGGCGGCGGGCGACATGTACACAGATACAGTGCGAATCGTTTTCAAAAAAGGCTCTTGCAGTGGTGCTGCGCACGCTGGTCCAGAACGCCGGCATACTGGCACGATCTAGTTTTTGCAAGATGTGGCTCTCGACCTGGCGCCGCGCACAAGTGCCTTGTGATGTTTCAGCAGCCGGGCGGCTGGAGTGCCCTCGGAGCCATGTGCACTCGTGACAAAGTATGGAGGGCGGTCCCTTCCTGGGCCTCGCGTTTGACGTTTCCTTAGCAATTATGGTCCTAGCTCTTGGCATGTTTGTAGTTACAATGATGGCCGGTGGTTCCTCCCCAAGACGGAGCGACCGCCTGGATGACAGGGCCATACGGCGCTCGTCCGTGACACGGGCGTTTGTGAGGACATGGAACTGTACCGTGATTTTCGCAGCGTTGATGCATCCTCGGTTTACTCTGGTTTTTGTCTTCCTTCCCGTCGTCCCATTCCCCCTCGTCGTCGTCGTCTTCCATGCCGTCTTTGTCGTCATCGGCGCCGGCGTCGTCCTCGCCTTCGTCGTAGTTGCTCCTTCTTGTCGGCGCGCCGTCCTCGTCGTCCTCGTCCTCGCTCTCGGTCCCGTCCTCGTCTGCGCTCTCGGTCCCGTCCTCGTCCTCCTCGGCGCCCTCGTGTTCGCCGTCCTCCTCCTCGCCCTCCCTCTCCTCCTCCTCTTCCATTTCCTCCCCCTCCTCGTCCACCTCGTCGCCGTCGTCGTCCCTCGCCAGGAGTCCATGGCAGCCCGCGCCAGCGGCGAGAGGGCCGAGCTGGAGGGGGCGCTGCGGGAGGAGTCCGAGCGGCTCCTCGGCGAGGAGTCCGAGCGGGGCCGGCGGG